GTCAGAGTCGGGCGTTATACGCATGCACACTGGATTGCCGGCTGTCGAATAAAGTTGTCGCAAGTCGGCTGTCGTTGTCGGAATAGAAGATGGTCAATTCCCATCTTTTCCGACTAGATGAAACATAACCTTCGGACACATTTGTGTATGGATAAACAGATATTTTTATACGGATATATTTATATTATATTATAGAATCCCACTGAATGTAGATGAAATAATTATTGATTTTGTTCGCGAAAATCATTGCTTGTATGATAAATGCGATGTGAATTATAAAAATGTTAGCAAAAAAAGAGATCTGTGGCAAAAAATACCCACAAATTTGAGAAACTGTTATGATATAAATGTATCAGGTAATTTTTTATTTGTTAAATTATTATTATTTAATATAAAAATTTTTCAGCACATTAACACTCTTATAATGATATCAGATTGAAGATTGAAAATTTGCTTGTTAATTTAATTTAACTTGTGATATTATTGCAATAGTTTAATTGCGTTTGATAAAGTCCGGAAAAATTCGGCACGCAGTTTGAATAACTACAAAAACATGGTATATATGCATGTTAGAATATGATAATTCACTGTGAATTATTTAGACATTTTGAAGATCTATAGCTTTGACCGTCATAGACTTGAATATGCTTATATTTAAGTATTTAAAAATATTTTGTAATTTAATTCTTTTGCATCAAACTTAAGAAATGCCTACAAAAGTTGACACTGGGTGAATTCGTGTATATAAATTTATTCAAGTTTAATAACTTGAATAATATATATTTCAATCATCATTTTGATCCTTTTCAAAATATTATAAAACTAATTAAATCAGTACATAGTAGTCTCGTCAAGCAAGGAGTGACATTCTACAATTACATGTGTTGTCCATATGTGGTTGTGTAAAATTTGTTACAAGTCCGAGTATACATTTAATTTTCAGATTAAATGATAAGCATATTTGTGATAATATGAGATTTCCACCATTTTCTTGTACCTTTCTTTTTACGTTTCTTTAAAAGTAATCTTATTTTTATAATTTGTGTCCAAATTAATAATAAATTTGAATATATATTCAACGTTTCAATATCTTTTACATTTGTTCCGACCTTCCGACTTCGATCAACGACTCAATTGTAGAATAGCAAGTCGTATTCATGTTCGACATATAACATACGACAAACGACTAGCGACAGCCGACATACAACTGATTGTATAATGGGCCTTAGAGATTGAAGTTATAGACATAAGTAATGCACAAGTTTTGGCGTATGACATACGACTTATTGCCATCTGTTGGAGACACGGCAATAAATTGTACGTTATATGGGAAAGCCTTGTGCCTTACTTACGTCTACAACTTAAATCTAGGTAAGTATTACGATAATTCTTGTGCTTAGACCTTTATGACAATTCTTATGCTCAGACCCTATACCCGCATTCGTAGCACAGGCACATAGATAAGAACAGTAATTTCACTTAGCCAAAAATAGAGGCAACAGTTCTGCACAATTTTCAATATGGCGCATCAATCAGTTTCCTTATTCCCTACGATTCTTCGCTCTTATAAGTACTCCCGCGCAATTACGTGTTACGATTTTACGTTTTTATATGTGCCATGGGCTTAAACACGGATCCTCATTACAGGCAACAGTGCTTTGAAACCGAACGCATATTGATGAAAAGCCGGTTGTGAAGATAAAATTTATCCCTATCGCCTGTTTTTTACCAATCAGCGTTCGGTGTCAGAGCGCTGTTGTCTGTATGAGGATCCGGGCTAAGAACAATAGTTTCACTCTGTGTCGGCACCTTTGATTTTTATGTCCCACAGTGCCATGTTGAAAATTGCGCGTGAACACTTATATAAATGTTCCATAAATAAATATGCATACTTGTACAGCTATAATATCCTATACATTGCAGAAAAATTACAATTTTTTTCTCTGCAGTTATCATCTCCGTTGATAATCAAACTTTGATGATAGCACTGAAATCATAATTATAAAGAAAAATCGAGTATTATTGAGTTTTAAATGCATAAATACGTCTATTAAACTAATAAATCATAAAATTAATATAATATTATCAGTTTTTAACTCTTATGCTCATTTTCACCAATGTAGATTAACTTTAAACTCGGTTCAACTTACTCTTCGTCTTTTTCTAATCTTTAGAACTAAAAAAAGACGAAAAGTAAGTTGAACTGAGATTAAAGTTAATCTACATTGGTGGAAACGGGCATTAATCACTTCAATATTCTCAAGGACGCAAACTCCTGTAAGGATGTCGGTCTTTAATAGTATCTCATCGTGACGGCACGCTTTATAACATCAATGTTATGAAATCATTCATAATAATTCCTCTGAAGAATGAAACGACTGTGATTGGCTAGTTTCATAACATCGATGTTATAACTTCGGCGTAAAGCGTGCCGTGTAAACGTAGTATATGATTTACAGTTAAAGCGGACAACCATTGTAGACTATACAAAGTCGATTTCTTACGTTTTTTACGAGTTATGTTAAAGTTACGGATCCCTACTGTACCTTTAAGCTTTAAAGGTCTGAGTACAAGAATTGTCGTAACACTTACTTATGCCTGTTCTACAATAGAGTCACAAATCGTAAGCCGTAAAAAATTGGCCAATCACAGTTAATCGTCATTCTATATATAGCCATTAGTCATAAATCAGAAGTTAGAAGCTGGAAATTGACGACTGTGATTGATCAATTTCCAGCTTCTAATTTCTGATTTATGACTAATGGCTTATTGTAGAATGCGTGTAAGTGTGAGAAGAATAATCAACTATGATTAGTTAATTTCTTACGACTTACCGCTTATGTTTCTATTGTAGAACAGCCTAGAGACTAAGTTGTAGACGTAAGTTACGCACAAGCTTTAGCGTATAACGTACGATTTAAGTCGGGAGCACATAGAAAAACGTAAGACCATAAGAAATAAGAATATCGTAACATTGGATTCGCTATTGACCTTACGGTCTCTACCGTTATTGAACAATTCGCTTACTAATTACGTATTACCCAGTAAACGGATTGAAATGAATTGAAATGGATTCAGATTTTCAAAGATATTGATTCACGAATGTTAAATTGAATGCTTTTCAATCCTGAATGCATTTTTATTCATTTATAGGAATTTCATGGAGCATATCTTTGTGCCTATCAATCTAAATATATTAGCTTTTTCTGTGCACAAACACACAATTGTGAATACTGTTTAATTCAAAATTTTGAATAGAAAATGCAGTTTTTCAATCCAATTGCATCCAATTGAATCTAATTGTATTCAATTAAATCTAAAAAAGTATTCGCTATTTAAAATACGCATTCGAACAGAAAAAAATCCAAAAATTTCAATCCATTTTAATCCATTCTCATTTGGATACGACCTTACGTTTTTGTATATGCCATGGGCTTAAATGGCTGAACTTATAGACATGGAAAAGTGACATTTTGATGACGAAATTTGTGCCGCATGCCATTTTGTTATTATTTGCTTAATTGTGAAAATGTGACATGTCTCGTACTTATGAAAGTCCTAAAAATGGTCAGAAACTATAGTTATCCTGAAATTTTATACATAAAAGCGTATATTTCATTTCAACAGCTGTTCAAACTGTATTTCTGCTTGAAATTAGACTCACTTTACCTATCTTTTACGACCATTTACTGACTATTAAGGAAGAAAAAGAACAATTTCTGCCCATTTTAAAGCAATCTCATCATTTACAATAGATTTATCCAAATTGTCTTTATTTACAAATAGCTTGCAGCATAAATTTACCTCATTCCTCGCTTCTGACGTCATTCCAACCGCCGCGATTACTCGGAAGGAGCCTTAAGTTATATGAAATTAACCAACTATAATCGATTTTCCTTCGAGAAGGTTCCGATTGCACACACTGCATGTTGCACACATGAGTCGCTGATTAGCCAATTTAAGAATAAAACATTCTCATTGGTAGTAAAGCAATAAAAAATTACTAGCCACCAGCTGGTATGAGTGGTGTGTGCAATCGGGATTGTGGGCAAACGAGATCCTCCCTTTTCTTCTCACACTTAAGCTACTAGGAAAATTTTATTCGAAATATATAGTATACGTAACGTATATTATAGCATATAGAGTAAAATCTTCCTCGGAGAGGAAGCTTTGGAACGTAGCCTTAACTGTGATTGATTAATGTTTTATGATTTAAGACTTAAAATTTAAGTAATAGTTTATTGTAAAAAGCATAAGAAATAAGCGACAACACGAGAAAAATATCAGGGCGCTTGATTCGAATCCCGGAGCGACCTGGTATTTTTCTTGTGTGTTATCGCTTATTTTTTACATTATATACTCAGAAGTCTTAAGTCTGGATCTACAATGAGTGCTTTCCATTTGATGATACAGGTCGACACAAGTGTCATTCTATCTTTGTCATTTTCTGAAAGGATAGAACGACGCTTCTATCGACTTGTGTCATCAAATAGAAAACGCCCAAGATGTTTTAAGCTTCAAGCTGTAAGAAATTGACTGACTACAACCGAATGCGAAGAGAATAATTTAGTGTAATTCATACATTCTTTATGACTTAAGGTTTAAAAATCTATTGTAGATCCACAGTAAAGAAACTTAGATAAATCTAAGATTGTTATGTTTAAAAAACAAAACTTTTTTTTCTGGATATTTATATATTTCATAATTTTTACCCTATATTTTAGTAAAAGCTTATTGCACAAAGTTCTGCTTATAAATTTTGAGATTATGACCTGTATTCAGAACACGCTTTTATCTCTAAAATTCTATAGTATGCGTAACGTAAATTATAGCATGTTAGCGCGCTAACATAGTTGTAAGCGCGTCTGAATATAGACCTATATCATCAAATTTAATAAACATCGAATTATTAATGTTTATTAGAAAAATCTATAAAGTCTTCGAATCATTTTTTTTCCATTTGTCATTCTATAATTACTTTAATAAATACAATGGTTTCTATATAAATAAGCATATATAAATTATGAAATACTAAATCTAAAATATGTTATAATGTTTATTCAGGAATATCCTTCATCTTATCCATATTAATAATCTTTTTCGTCAATACGTTTATCCGGCCAAAAATCAATTACAGATACTTTAAGGAGACAATCTTCATAGGAACAAGTGCTCATCAAGGTGTCTCCATTAGATATGTTTAAATTCGAAATATCCAACTGTTTTAAGAATGACCAGTCACAGCCATACGATAAACCTTTATGCTCTTTATAATTGACAACGACAGATGATAATATATCATGATTAATGATCTTGAAACCATTGTGCATACAGGCGGCGAGCAAGTATTGATGAGTAAACGGATCCCATTTTAAACGCCAGACTCCACCATCGAGACAAATCGTCGATACTGGTCGAGCGAAATTTCTCTTATCCCACAATCTTACATTCTGATCGTAACTGAAATATTTAAGCGCATATTGATCGTTTAAAGAAAAGTTTATCAAATAAATTATCCAAAATAAATTTTGCAATCATAGAAGATAAAATATGTAGATTGAATTTCTTTAATTTTAGTAATGTACAAAGAAAAAAAAAAGAAATTGATTACAAAATTCATAAGGTTTCACGCGCGTACGAAAAATTGAATGTGAAGATCTTTGAGTTTTTAAACTTTTATTTTCTTGAAAGAATGCAAAGTGATTACCGAAAATTTTTTTACCTTCCGGTTGCGAGTAAGAATTTTTTACTATGGATGCTAGTAACACCGGCAGTATATTTCTTATTTTCAACTACAGGATGAGATCCAGTTCTGCTATCAAAACATAGGAATCTATTGTCATCGCCACCTAAAATTTACCATAAATTAATTTATAAAAAAACTTATTGAGTTTTCTTACTCAATTGAGTTATAATATTCTAAATAATAAATTTGATTAGGTGCATTGTCAGTGTGCACAGTGTTAAACTTGTCATACACACGCATGCACGCGCGCACACATTGACATAAAGGTGTGTGTTTAATATAAATATAGAAATGTTTTGAGCTGCAAAATCGTCACTTTATTATACTCTGTTTGATAAAATATGTATTTTATAATTCAAAATATTTGCATACTCAATATTTGCATATTCAAAATATTGCATCACTTTTACATTTAGATTAAATCATATGGCTTTGACACCAACGCATACTAGTATGCCTAACCGCAAAAAATTGTTATTTATAAATTAAGCAAAATATATAATATAGATAGGCTGCATTCCAAAATAAATTGCCTGTGCCAAAAATCTATATAGATTCACTTTCACATAAATCATATATCATCGTACCAGAATAAAAAATTAATGGATTGCAATAATCAAAGGCGACAATCCACGCATGGAACTTGTGAGCGGGCCATGTAAAATCTTTCGTTAAATCACCCGTTTCAGCCCACGTAAAACGAGAGATATATCCTGCACTGTCGCTCACAAGAATATTTGTATTAATGATAGGATCAGAGGCAGAGCTGTTTCTTCTGGACCAATCTAGAGATAACGCCATGACATTCTCTTCATCATTTACTTTTAACTTAGTAATAAATTCTATTCTTTTTCCATCGTTTCTCAGTTGATAAATTTGTAAGTATCCCATGGAATCGACAACTGCGAGTAATATTCGAGTTTCTACAATATCTATGACATGTAACCATTTCATATCCAATATAGCTGAAGTGCATACTTGTTGCAGCAATTCTAATTCTCCACCATTTGTTATATGCAACAATAAGATTTGCCCCTGTCTATATGTAGATTTTGTGTTAGGTTCATTTTTATTTAATTTATATGTTCCACATGTTAATACATTTCGATATGGCTCTATAGGACACCATTCGACGGTGTCTGCTGGAAATTTTGTATCAAATGTAGCCAATGTACGTACATGTATTTCGTCTTCTGCCATTTCTTTCTGTCAATTATCTGGAACAAAAGGAATTTCGACATAATTTAGAGTTATTATATTATTGTCAAATGATATTTAATAAAAACTATTTGAATTTGCGGTTTTAGGACTATACATAATAAACTTAAACAAGATAGCGATTATGATTATTCTTAATTATAATCAATAAATCTTGATCAATGTATGCATGTAAAATAGTATTGAAAGCAGCATATTAATTATGAAATAAATATAGCGAAAAGATGTAAAAAAGAAAAAAACGAGAATGTATCCAATATATATGTGAAATAAACTGAAAGAAAAATATGAATTGCAATGGACACAGCTCTTTTTTTTCAATAAAAAAAATGTTTATTTCGTTATAGATATTACACAAAATTTAAATATAGGAACACATTTGTACCATTTTTTTGATATTTCTCTTATATTTATTGTAGGACCTTATACGCATCTTGTGTCTATATTTGTACTATTTGTATAATTTGTACTGTAATCGTGGATTATATACACATGTTAAGGCTTTAAATATATATCACTATTTTCACAAATTGTATTATTTTAAATTAATAAATAAATATTATTAAGAAAAGAAAAACAAATTCTTTATACAAATTATGTATATAAAGTCTATTACAAACCAAGAGCTTAAAATAAATAATAAAAAATATCACTATTACAGGACTACTTTTTGGCAGTATTTAATTCTTTCGATAATTATTATTCATTTGTTAAAAAAAGAAAGTTGTTTAGTAGCTAATTAGCTATTTAATTAAATTTAGCCAAATTGAAATATTTGATAGAAATATTCTTGGCATTAGTTTTCAATATAATCTGTGTTGCCATTATTATAATTATCATTTCAGCTTATTCTTTACCTAACAATAGCACATTACAAAATCATTATGAATTTGTTTCTATCACAATGGGATAATACTTTCCACTCAAAATTGCTTATAATATGCAAGAGGTAGCAGAACAATCATTCATTTGATTACGTTGAGCTATGTAATGACTCTTTAGATTTGTGTAAAAAATACATGGAATATTTGCTTAAGTATACAGACACAGTTACTTAGATTTCGTAAATTCTTAATACTTAAGAACATTAGCTCAGCTGATAGAGATCCTACATGATTTCGTGTAACAATAGTTAATTATCTGCTTTGCAGGTTATAGATTCAATATTGATCCTCTTTCTCATATAAATATCATTAAAGTTTTTTTCCACAAAAGATAAAAGATTTAAAGATATTTAACGCTGAATAGCTTAGAAAAATACATTAAAGTTATAACCTTTGTACTTTAGTTGTAACAGTATATGTTATCAAGAATTTTGAGTAGATCTAAAATATGGATCAATTTTTAAAACAGAATGAATACTGTTGATAATACAAGCTTCTGCACAATGCAATAAGTACTATTTCAAAAATATCCGTTTGCATCATAATATAAGGAGTTCTCTATATAAATAATGTCGTGTAATTTATTATAAAAGCACATAGTGTTATTGGCACGCTTTTCTGGCACTTTTCATAGCCTCGGCACGGCATTGTTGGACTAGATAGCATGCCTTCGTAATGTCGCGTTCAACCTTAGATAATGTTTTGTTAATATTATCGCCGGTGTAACAAAGTTTAAGATCGCGACCTAGCTGCTCTATGACTCGCAGCAACTTGCTGTATTTTGATTGAGCAGGCACGGAAGATATTGGTGCGATGCGTTGAGAAACTCTCAGCTCCGGCACCGTCAGCAACGGTTCTGTAATTTTCGCTGTCACTCCCACGTTTTTGCGTTGTTTTGTCATCTCCGAGAAGGAAGAAAGAGGCTGCGCGTTTTCCGTTTATCTTTTACAACAACCTTGAGAAACAATCGACAATCAGGTCTATGGAACGTCAGCGAGCAAAAAGATCGATCGTAGTATGCTCTAATCTTTAAGTCCATTGAATTTATTTGTGTCATATTAACACAAATATATATCGCTCTACTGAAACACAAGTCAAGCAAACGTAAATATTAAATGTGTACTATACATACCTAGTCAATCTCCCTTCGTCTGTTCTGGACCGTTTTACCAATTTTGATTTTAACTGCAGTTTAGCGAAACTTTGATTAAGGTTACTCTTAACAGTCTCAACACGAAATAATAAATAAGATCAAACTCAAGCGGCCGGTCACAAAAAAGTAGGCTTGAGACACTTTAGGAAAACCAATGGAAAATTCGGCAGATGTGATTTTAGTGCCATCACGCCTTGCGGGGAAAGTTGGGAAGTATTGACTGTCACGTGATAAACAGACCACACGTCTACTACACACATACTACACATTCATACACCGTATTTCGAGCCCACTTTCAAGCCGATATTTACAGTCAGATCTTATATTCAAGACCGTTTTAAGTATGATCTTAAGAAGTCAGAACTAATCAGAGGGCTGCATTAACGTCTTAAGACATTACTTAAGATGGTCTTGAAATAAGAATCGACTATGAATACCGGCCTCAGGACCTCGAGTTTGATCTCCTTCTTATTACTCTTAGGCTGTGGTCAAAGTCTAGTTACAAATACTTTAAAGCGTTTGATGGACTAATTAGAAGAAAGAATTTTACAAACCAATTAAAAAACGCTTCAAAGCGTTTGTAGCATCGCGTTGACCAAATCCTCAGTTTAATATTGAATGGTTTCTACGAACACTCCATCTAGAACGTTTAGCTAAACTTATAACTTGTGCAACATATCTTTAGAAAATTTAAGAATACTGATTGGTTCAGTGTTTGTTCTAATAGAAATAAGGCGCATACCGCAAAATATATATTTTTTCTTAGGGCGAAATCACACGGTGCGGAAAAGGGCAACAGAATAGAAAATGTGATTTCACTCTTATTGTCTTCGTAGTGTGTGTTATAATAAGCATCAAGTAACATATGAATAAAGGAAAGATTGTAAATAAATTACAACGTAAACGTGCTCGGAATATTTTCGAAGCAGAGGAAATGATATTAATATATTTAGTACAACAATATATAGACATTCTTGAAAATAAGAAATCTGACTCAGTCCTCCTTTTGAGAACCTCAAAAGACAAAAGGTGTATTTTTTATTATTGCCGGTGCAATAAGTTAAAGTAAAACGAATGTATATTTATTTCACTTTAACTTATTGCACTGTGTGCACTAGTTCAGAAAGTGCAGTAATAAAAAACAAACCGAATGAGAAATGTTGGAAAGTTATAGAACACTCATTTAATAATAGATCTTCTGAAGGCGAATATGGAAATTTTGAAGCTTTGAAAAGCTGTTAGGATAATTTAAAAAAAAAGATAAGAAAATTTTTTGCTGATAAAAGATTGCTATTACACACTGTTTGAACATAGAAAAGTATCCTTTTTTACTACGAAATAATTCAGCATTTTTTCCACCTGTAATAATCAAAATATAAATATAATATAATAATAAATATTATAGATAAATAAAGTAATTAAAATAATCCTTACTAAATGACTGGACATGTGTACAATCTATGCAGTCAATGACTCTTGGAAAACGAGCAACGTTATAAAAACGTAATTGTTCTTGTCTTATTTCTTGTTCGATATTTGGAAAGTGAATATAGCGAGGTCGTAGCCTAGTAATAGGCATGCACTGATCTTATAAACTATGTAATACGCAGATGTTGTGCTTACACCAGAAAAATCATTCATTGTTATAAGGAATGATCCGGTAGCATAAATGCGAAGTGTTAATAATAATTGTTCTACACGAGATATTGCATTATTTTATTTTTCAGATATGGCAAATTTATTTAACCTTGTGTTGTCATCCTCCGATAATGAAAATAATGAAGAACAATAAAGAAGACAAAGGAAGTTCAAGACCGTCTTAAGTAATGTCTTAAGACGTTAATGCAGCCTTCTGATTGGTTCGTGACTTCTTAAGGTCGTACTTAAAACAGTCTTGAATATAAAATCTGACTGTGAATACCGGCCTGAAAGTGCCGCTTGAAACACGGTGATGAATGTATAGTATGTATGTAGATACATTCGTGTGGCCTGTTATCCTGTGACAGTCAATACTTCCAACTTTTCCCGCAAGGCGTGATGGCACTAAATCACATCTGCCAAATTTTCCATGGGTTTTCCTACACGTATTTTAAGCCTACTTTTTTCATGACGGCCGCTCTCCTTATTGAAATTTATTTGTCATCTTTCCTTCATTCATTATGTTACTTGATGCTTATTATAACACTACGACACACTACAAAGCAATAAGAAAAAATATATATTTTGAAGTATGCGCCTTATTTCTATTAGAACAAACGTTGAATCAATCAGTATTTGATATTCTTAAGGGGAGAAATACATGTAAATGCTCGAAAATCAGTCATTTTTCGTGAATTATTTTGAGGGTGATAAAATAATTAAATCATTTTGCACTTTTGGCATAATTTAATGACATGTGTCAGGTAATTAAAACAATTTTTTTTTTGTTTTTTGATACAAAATGGCGGTGGTACAGTCCCTCCACGAAGGCCGTTTTTGTGAAAGACGTAAAACGGCTGCCATCGCCCAGCTTTTTCTATTGGTCTGAAATCAAAAAACAAAACATATTTCGATTACTGATGAGTTTAGGCATAGAGTAAACCTATAAAATTGAGAAAAAGTACGAAATAAAAAATTTGGTACGCTTTTTAATAACAAATTCGTATTTTCGCCTATTTTTTCGACAGTTATTGCCCGCTTAAAATTGTTTATTTATGCAAAATGTGTAATTATTTTAGGTTCACTCTGTGGGTAATTATGTTGACTAAAACCCCTCAAAATTTCAGCCCGATCGGTTAATAATTTTTTTAGGTACAGTGGCAGCCGTTTTTGAAAACGTAGTTTCGAGAAAATCGCGTTTAAAGTTTCAGGACGATAAAACTATTGGTTTTTGCGACTTACCGATCAATCAGCGATTCCAGGTGCATACAATAGCTCTTCAGCTTCCTCGAAAAGCTGATTATCTTCCAGTTGTTGCTGTTTCCTGGCAGTACGGGCAGCTTTTGTCTCGCTTTGGCTCATCCTGTTCTGTCGTGTAACGCGAGCTTCGTCCGTATTTTTAGCAAAATTGAGAGCTTGATTTCCGACAACGATGTCCAGTTGGTTCATCAGCCTCAATATTGAATTGTAGCCTTCGTTGAATACTCCGGCTGCAATGCAGGCTGATAACTCGATTATTTTTTGGCCAGAATGTAAGTGTTTGGGGGTCAATCGCCAGATGGTGGAGTTAAAGCTTTCGTTGGCGTTCTGAGTGTGACCACCCAAGCACCTTTCTAGAAGATCTTCTCTAGATAAATTCTCGTATATTGGTAAGAGG